TGGTTCTCTGATGGTTCTCTGGTGGTTCTCTGATTGTTCTCTGGTGGTTCTCTGGTGGTTCTCTGATGGTTCTCTGATAGTTCTGATTGTTCTCTGATGGTTCTCTGATGGTTCTCTGACTGTTCTCTGGTGGTTCTCTGATGGTTCTCTGGTGGTTCTCTGATTGTTCACTGATAGTTCTGATTGTTCTCTGGTGGTTCTCTGGTAGTTCTCTGATGGTTCTCTGGTTGTTCTCTGATGGTTCTCTGGTTGTTCTCTGATGGTTCTCTGGTTGTTCTCTGGTTGTTCTCTGATAGTTCTGGTTGTTCTCTGGTAGTTCTCTGATGGTTCTCTGGTTGTTCTCTGGTGGTTCTCTGATAGTTCTGATTGTTCTCTGATAGTTCTGGTGGTTCTCTGATTGTTCTCTGATTGTTCTCTGATAATTCTGATGGTTCTCTGGTTGTTCTCTGGTAGTTCTCTGGTTGTTCTCTGATGGTTCTGATTGTTCTCTGGTGGTTCTCTGGTTGTTCTCTGCAGCCTGAAGCTTTGAAACAGTCTGAAGTTCTAAGAGGCAGAAGACAGAAATACTCGAGGCTGAAAACAGAAGCCGTCCACTCAGCGGTTTGAGACACAGGCCCTGTGGTGGATGTGAAAGCCGATCTGGTGAGACGGTGCAGAGGCTCAGGCTCAAACCGGTTCTCAACCTAACGGATGTTTAGACCAACAGCTGCCTTATGAGGACGAGAGGAGGAGAAGATGTGACGCTAAGTTTAGACGTGAGACAGAAAACAGAGAAGAGGAACCATGTTCGGTCAGAGTTTCACTTGATGTCTTCAAGTTACTGACGAGCTGAACGTGAATCATGGAAGTTATTTCAAAATAAATATTATGTTTAAAATGTATATTTAATATTTTCATCGACTAAATATTCCGATTTATAATAAACACCAGAATCTCAGTCAAGTTTTTAAAATCAGATTTGAACCAAAACGGACTAAATTTTCATTTCATCACAGACGACGCTGTGATTGGCTGTCGTCGTTACAACGATCACGCCCACAGTCAGGCCTTAAAGCAACAGTGTCACACAACGATGACGTCACAAGACAAAGTTCTCTCTGGACACGTGGAAATGTTTTTTCACTCTGGATGGATTTCACTAAAGTTCAGTTCTTGGGGAACGAAAGGTTTGATTTAAAAAAAACATTTGAACCAACGAGAGAATCTGGAGTTTGTTGAGTCTGAACCTTCGGATGAGACGATCAGAGTGAAGTCATTTAGAAAACGTTTCAGAGACGAGTGAAATAAACAGAGGACATTCTCGAATCCATTGAGCGACAGTTTATTTTCTATCAAACAGGACGATGACACATGAACTTTCAGATACAGATGAAACTTTTCCTCATCAGGTCACATGAAACCAGCGACTGTGAAGACGACGTGACGGCTCCTCAGTGTTTGAATGTTCATGTTTCTGACGAGTTTGGTTTTAATGTGATTATTGACAGAGGGGACGGACCCGTGTCGGCCATCTTTAAACGTTTGGACAGATTCACTGGTAAGAACCTTTTCACGTGATCGTTCATTTTCGCCCGAGCAGAAGTTTTTCTACGTGTGATCAAACTTTCAAAACAAACAGAACAAACATTATCCAACGAGGTTTTAAAGTTTAAATTGTAAAACTGAGAAACAAACATCATCAGAACAAAGCTCCGCCCACACTGACAAGTTTTAATTTTAAAACTTCCTCAGTCCTCACGAACACACGTCACCCCGGAGTTTTCAAACCAAAACGAGACCAGTTCACACAAGTCTCTGATTCAGAGGCTGGAAAACTGTGGAGTCGTGTGGACGGCAGGCGTAACCATAGCGACAGGGGTGAGTTTTAAAACTAAAACGCATCGGTGTGGACGGAGCCGGAGCAAAGCAAAGAAAAACCCAGATGTTGAACCCACAACAAGAAAAGTAAACACTGATCAGACTCTTTGACCCACGTTTGTCTTCAGAGCATCGAACTTTCATTTAGCACGAGACGAGGTTCTTCGTCCGAGTTCAGAGGTTTTCATTCAAGACATTCAAGATAAATTCACAACCGGACGTTCACCAGGAGATTTCTGAGCCGAGCCTGAAGATGGTTTCTGTTTAGACACTTTTAACCCAGAATGTGAAAAACATTCGTCTGAGACACCAGACGAATGCTTTTCTAAAAGCTTTTATTTTGGAATGAAGGAAACAGGGAACGATCCGTTATTGATCGTTTGTGACGCACGAAACCGTTCGACTGAAAAAAAAAAATTAAAAAACCAGTGACAAAGAAACAAAAAGTGAAGAGTTTGTTTTTTTTAACTTCTGAAAAAGCTTGAACAGTCTATTGAAGCAATCACAGCCAGAGAGGAAGTGACATCACAACGCTGTGCAGGACGTCGAAGGTGATGAAGATGAAGATGAGAGAAGCTGGAAACTGTTTCTCCTTCTCAGTCTGACTTCTTGTCACTGGTCGCCTGCAGACAAGAAACAGGGCGTCAAAAACACTGATCCTGTGTGTGTGTGTGTGTGTGTGTGTGTGTGTGTGTGTGTGTGTGTGTGTGTGTGTGTGTTACCAGCAGCTTGCTGTGCTCCTCCAGCAGTCTGTCGTACTCCACCGTCAGATTCTCCGCCTGTTTCTTCATCGCTCGAACGTCACTGTCCGACTTCTGCAGAGCTGAAGACAGAAGAGAGCGAAGTTCAGAGATAACACACACACGTGCACACACACACACACACACGTGCACAGACACAAAACCACACACACACAAACACACCTTTCTTGCTGTTGTCCAGCTCCTCCTTCAGAGTCTTCACCTCCTCTTTCAGATTCTTGTTCTCCTCCTGTGGTCCTGCTCCCTTCCTCCCGGCCTCCGGCACCTCGACGCCGGCATCACGCAGTTTCTATGAGTCAGAAAAAAAAACAAAAACAAACACAGTCAGCGATTGTGTTTGAGACGAGGAGAGACGTCCCAACGATCACATCAGACAACGTGTTTCTGTTTGTGTCCGAAGTGAAGTAAATTCTTATATTCGTGTATGATCAGTTCAGTATGATGAGTGTGTGTGTGTGTGTGTG